GTAACATGAAAATAAAAAGTGTAAAACTTAAATGATAAAAGTAAGTATACAAATTCAAAACACTTATACCATATTGACAAGGAAGGGATGTTGTCAAATTTATGCTATGAAGATGATATTGCTTTGATTCCAAAATCAGGGAAGAACACAAGAAAAGAAATACACAAATCAATAACTCTTATGAGTCTAGATGAAAATTCAACAGAATGATTACAAACTGATCTCAATATCATATTGAAAATCTAATTTCCCATGTTAAAGTGAGATGTACCCCTGGGATACATGAATTGATCAACATACATAAATTGAAAGCAGATTACAGAGATTGGAGCTGTGCTGCAACAGGTTAAGCCGCTATCTGCAGCACTATCATCCTATATGAGCACCTGTTCGATCCCAGCTGCTGCACTTCTGGTCCAGCTCCCCTGTGATGTACCTGATAGAGCAGCAGAGGATGACTCAAGTGCTTGGGCCCCTGCTCCAACATGGGAGACCTGGATGAAACTCCTGGATCCTGCTTTGGCCTGGCTCTGGTCATTGCTGGCATTTGGGTAGTGAATCAGCAGGGGGAAGATCTCTCCTCTTTTTCTCTCTCTCTTTCCTTCTCCCTCTCTCTCCCTCTCTCACTGTAACTGTTACTTTCAGATATAACAAATAACTCATTAAATAAAGACTATTACAGACTGCCTTATACTTTGTTAATTGAATGAAACACAAAAGAGAAAATATTCATTTCAATAAAGACAGAGAAGACGTTCATCAATATCTGACATCTTTTCAAGGTTTAAAAAAATCTCTCAACAAATTATGTGTGAAAGACATAAACATCTGGCCATTGCCGCAGCTCAATAGGCTAATCCTTCGCCTGCGGCTCCAACACACCGGGTTCTAGTCCTGGTCGGGTAGCCAGATTCTGTCCCGGTTGCTCCTCTTCCTGTCCAGCTCTCTGCTGTGGCCCGGGAGTGCAGTGGAGGATGGCCCAACTCCTTGGGCCCTGCATCCACATAGGAGACAAGGAGAAGCACCTGGCTCCTGGCTTTGGATCCGTGCAGTGCGCCAGCCACAGTGCACTGGCCACAGCGGCCATTGAGGGGTGAACCAACAGAAAGGAAGACCTTTCTCTCTGCCTCTCTCACTGTCCACTCTGCCTGTCAAAAAATAAAAAAAAGATAGACATATACATCAACACTTCAAATGCAATATACAATAAGTCCATAACTAACATCTTACTCAATTGTGAAAACTTAAAAGCCGTTCTCTCTGTTCAGGAACAGGGCAAGAAAGCCCACTCTCCCCACTACTATAGTAGCAGAAGTCCTAGCTAGAAACTTGAAGCAAAAAAAAAAAAAGACCTGAATTTTGCAACCATCTAGAATGAAGCGGTATACAGAACCCTTCCTCTCTCTCTCTCTCTCTCTCTCTGACACTCTGTCAAATAAATGAATAAACAAATCGTTTTTTAAATGACAATATAATCCAAAGTAATGTGCTGATTCAAAGCCAACTTCCATCAAAATTCTCATATCATTTTTAACAGAAAAGACCAATATTAAAAATCATATGAAGCCACAAATAACCTGAATAACAAAATTAATCTTCAATGAAAAGAACAAAGCTGGGATATCACACTTTCTGGCTTCAACATCCACTATGCTATTCATCTAAACTATATCAATAAAATATTGCACTAACATAAAAATAGATACATAGACAAATGTAAAAGAATATAGAACCCAGAAATAAATCTACACTTGTATAGTCAACATACTTTCAACAAATTGCCAAGAATATGCAATTGCAAAAAGTTAGCCTCTTTAATAAACTGTAATGAGAAAACTGAATAGTAACATAAACAAGTATGGTTTTAAACTCCTTTCTCTCACAATATACAAAAAAGCCTCAAAATGGACTAAATATTTGTATCAGAAGTCCTGAAATTATAAAACTACTAAAAGAAAATATAAAGGAAAATCTCTATAACATTGGTTGGGTAAGAGTTTTTTGATATGATCCCCACCACAGCACAGGCAATAAAAGCAAATGTTGACAAAATGAAATTCTATCAAACTAACCAGCTTCTGTATAGCAAAGTACAAACTCAGCAGAAGGAAGAGACAACCTAAAGAAAGGAAGAATACATTTACAAACCATGTGTCTGATGAGGAATTAATAACCTAAATACAAAAGGAACAGCTTAATAGTACAAAAACAAATAACCAAGTAAAATAAAGAACCAGAATAGACCTTTCTTAAAATAAGACACACAAATTACCAACAATTGAATGAAAAAATGATAACCATTGCCACAAAAATGCAAATAAAAACCCCAATGAGCTATTACCTCATACCAATAAGAATTTTTAGAATAAAAAAAAATAATAAGTACTGGTGAGATTGTGGAGAAAAGGGATCTGTTGTATACTGTGGGTGGAAATGTAAACTGGTGTCATTATTTTGGATGACAATTTGGAGATTCCTCAACAAAATCAAAATAGAACTACTACATTCATAGTACTGGATACATATTCAAACTATATAATGAAATCAGTGTGCCAAAGCAATAACCACTCACGTGTTCATTGCAGCATTATTCACAATCGTCAAGACATGGGATCAATCTAAGTATCCATCAATGGATAAAGAAAATATGTTATTTAAACCCAACCACGGAAAGAAGGAAATCCTGTCACCACAGCAACATAAATGACATTATGTTAATGAAATAAGCCTGGCATAGAAAGGCAAATAGGCAAAGCAAAAGGATATTCAGTGTCATTAAACTATACTTATTACATTGTAATGGTGAATATACACCATTATATATTTGTGAAAACCTGTAGACTCTATAGTATACATCAAGAGTGGATCCTAATGTCAGTTATGGACTTTGACCAATAAACATTGTCAACCAAGGCTGGAACTGTTGTGCAGCAGGACAAACTGACGTCCGCAGCACCAGCATCACATATGGGTCCCAGTTTAAGTCCCGGCTGCTCTACTTCCCATCCAGCTCCCTACTATTGTGCCTGGGAAAGCAGTGGAAAATAGTCCAAGTCTGTGGGCCTTTGCACCCACACGGGTTAACTGGATGAAGCTCCTGGCTCCTAGATTCTGTCTGGTCCAGCCCTGGACATTGCAGCCATTTTGGGGCATGAACCAGCGAATAGAAGATTCTCTCTCTCTCTCTCGCTCTCTCTCTCTCTTTCAAAAAAATAAATGATTTTTTGAAACAACTTGTCAATATGAGTTTACTGATAATAATAAAGGTACAAGTGATGTTGATAAACACATTTAGTGTCTTCCTTTCAGACAGGAAATAAGTCTAATTATATATCTAATTAGTTCTCGGTTTCTTTAACTTTCCAAATTACCCAATGATTTCTAATGATCTCAACAAGAGCTCACTAAATCATTGTTGATTTATATTATACCAAGATCACATCAAAACAATATAAGAAATGAAAATATATGATTTCTTAAATAAAAAATAGATAAATACAGGTGGATCTTCTTCACATTATTTATTTTATTTATTTATTTATTTATTTTTGACAGGCAGAGTGGACAGTAAGAGAGAGAGAGACAGAGATAAAGGTCTTTCTTTGCCGTTGGTTCACCCTCCAATGGCCGCCGCGGCTGGCACGCTGTGGCCAGCACACAGCGCTGATCCGATGGCAGGAGCCAGGTACTTCTCCTGGTCTCCCATGGGGTGCAGGGCCCAAGTACTTGGGCCATCCTCCACTGCACTCCCTGGCCACAGCAGAGAGCTGGCCTGGAAGAGGGGCAACCGGGACAGAATCTGGCGCCCCGATCGGGACTAGAACCCTGTGTGCCGGTGCCGCAAGGCGGAGGATTAGCCTAGCTTCGCATTATTTCAAGCAACACATCAGATTGTTAAATAGAATATAAATAAATCTACATTAAGGTCACAAATACACTATTTATAAATAAGCTTTATAAATAGTCACTTCAAGTGGACGTTCCACATGTACATTCCTAAAATTTCTTTTTCCAGAATTTCTGGGAGTGGATCACAAACTCCATGTATCACTTGGTATGTGGGCACTCTTCTGTTCTGGGGGTAATACTCAAGAAATATAAGGAAGAGAAAGGGAATTACTACAACTAAGACCGTCGCTAGTTGAATAGAATCAGGAATGAGTTTTTATGGAAACTGGCACTTAAATTGTGACAAATTTTATATGGCAACTTTCCTCTTTCAGTGCCATTGTAATTTTAAGGGACTTCTTGTGTATCATTCTCTAAAAAGAGATAATATTCATAAGATAATGTCTTCAGCAAAAATACTTTCTTTATGAGTTTCAAACAATTGACTTCCATCAGGAATATTGACAGACAGGTCTTTAGTGAGTTTAGTACTGCATAGAATATGATCCTCCCAGATTTTCATAATATAAGAAACAGATCTGGGCAAAACTACAAAATAAAATGTAAAACATAACTGAATATGTAACTAAACATTTTCAAAATGGTAAGAACAGACTAAAAACTATACAACATTTCAGAGTAGAGCAGCAACTACTAAGGATAGCCTTCATTTTTCTTTCCATTTCTTGGAGTACCTCTTTCACAGATAATGCTCGTGATATAGTCACCTCTCCACTGAAGGACTTAATGACAGTAAACTCAAATTGAACATCCAGAGAAGAAGAAGCAACCATTTATTTAAGTTTTTATATGTATATATCAAGTAATAGCTGAGGTTGAAGTCTGAGACAAGATGCTTCATTAAGATGTAAAAATCTGAAGAGCTTGAAAATGAAGAAAAGAAGACATTATTAAAGTATTCATTCTGTTGTAATCTTTAGTGTCCTCTAGAAAGATCTGGATCATTTCTAAATGTTTCCCTAAGGTTTGACTTGATGCAATTCCTTTTACTCTTCAAAGCCTACTGCTAAATGTTCAGGCACAACAATTTCTTCCTTAAGATCTACACTTGACATTCACTTTTAACTAATCATGTGGACTTCTCTCTACAGAACTCCAGGTTCTTGGAGGAGTACATAAGCTATAATATAAAGTGCAATGAATGCCAGATAAGTTCCTCCTGGGTAAGTCACCTATTTCCACATGTTTATTGCCTTGGCAGCTTTATTAGATCAAATCAATGTCTATGAAATGTTTCACGCTGATGTTTCTCAATAAATGTTTAGTCTGATCATCCCTGGCACCAATATTAATCAAAGGGTTTTGTCAGAACTGCTTGCAACATATTTTGAAAAGCCCAGATGATAGTTCTATAAAAATGCATCATGTTGATTAATATTTATTACCTGTTTAAAAATTTATATAGTAGCTATCATTTTAGAACCCAGACACTTTGACAAGGGTACTATTTTAGCATGAAAATAAAATAGATGGGAATCTTTCAAGATGCTACTATAGAGTTCATTTAGAAATTATTAACCTGAATATAAACCTACCATACAACCCAGCCATCCCACTCCTTGGAGTTTACCCAAAGGAAATGAAATTGGCAAACAAACAAGCTGTCTGCACATTAATGTTTATTGCAGCTCAATTCACAATAGCTAAGACCTGGAACCAACCCAAATGCCCATCAACAGTAGACTGGATAAAGAAATTATGGGACATGTACTCTATAGAATACTATACAGCAGTCAAAAACAACGGAACCCGGTCATTTGCAACAAGATAGAGGAATCTGAAAAATATTATGCTGAGTGAACTAAGCCAGTCCCAAAGGGACAAATATCATATGTTCTCCCTGATTGGTGACAACTAACTGAGCACCAAAGGGGAAACCTGTTGAAGTGAAATGGACACTGTGAGAAACAGTGACTTGATCAGCTCTTGTCTTGACTGTTGATATACAATGTAGTACTTTATCCATTTTAGTATTTTTTTTCTAGTACTATTGGTTGAACTCTGTAATTAACACACAATTATTCTTAGGTGTTTAAATATTAACTGAAAAGTGATCTATTAAATATAACAGTGGGAATAAGAGAGGGAGGAGATGTACAATTTGGGACATGCTCAATCGGACTTGCCCCAAATGGTGGAGTTAGAAACATGCCAGGGGATTCCAATACAATCCCATCAAGGTGGCATGCACCAGTGCCATCTCACTAGTCCAAGTGATCAACTTCAGTTCACAATTATTCACACTGATAGGACTAAGAGCCAAAGGGATCACACAAACAAGACTAGTGTCTGCTAACACTGATAGAATCAAAAAAGGAGAGAACGATCCAACATGGGAAGTGGGATACACAGCAGACTCATAGAATGACAGATGTCCTAAATAGCACTCTGGCCTCAGAATCAGCCCTTAAGGCACTCGGATCTGGCTGAAGAGCCCATGAGAGTATTTCAGGCATGGAAAGCCAAGACACTCTGGGAAAAAAAAAAAAAGGACCTAAATTAAGGATCTCTACGAGTGAGATCCCAGTGGAGAGAACGGGGAGGAGAGAACTTCCACTTTGACTAAGACCCTGTCTGAATAAGATCGAAGTCAGCGAACTCAAAAGGCTTCCATAGCCTTGGCAACTCATGAGTAGAGCCTAGGTAGATTACCAACGCCATAAACCAGAGTTTCAAATTGTTAAGTCAACAACAGGAGTCACTGTGCACTTACTCTTCATGTGGGATCTGTCCTTAATGTGTTGTTCAATGTGAAGTAATGCTATAACTAGTACTGAAACAGTATTTTACACTTTGTGTTTCTGTGTGGGTGCAAACTGATGAAACCTTTACTTAATATATACTGAATCGATCTTCTGTATATAAAGATAATTGAAAATGAATCTTGATGTGAATGGAATGGGAAAGGGAGCGTGAGATGGGAGGGGTGCGAGTGGGAGGGAAGTTATGGGGGGGGGGGAGCCATTGTAATCCATAAACTGTACTTTGGAAATTTATATTTACTAAATGAAAGTTAAAAAAAAAAAGAAAGTTTACCCTATTCGCTACTATTGCTGGAATAGCCCATGGCTATGGGCAAGAAATCCAATGTAAATAAGCACACGTGACTTCAAAGATGCTTTAGAATTTATTTTTTTCATAGTAATTCCCATGCCTCTTATCCTCCTGGATTTTTAAAATATTTTTCCATTGTACGTCCCTATTTTTTTTTTTTTTTTTTTTGCATTTAGGCTCCATGGCATCCACTTACTTGATGCTAACTCATGCAATATTGCTGTCCCCTTTTCCTTCATCCATCACTCTGGTACTCATATTTTTTTTTTAAGATTTATTTATTTATTTGAAAGTCAGAGTTACACAGAGAGGGGAGGCAGAGAGAGAGGTCTTCCATCTGATGGTTCACTCCCAAGATGGCCGCAATGGCCGGAGCTGCGCCAGTCTGAAGCCAGGAGCCAGGAGCTTCCCCCAGGTCTCCTACGCAGGTGCAAGGGCCAAAGGACTTGGGCCATCTTCTACTGCTTTCACAGGCCATAGCAGAGAGCTGGATTGGAAGAGGAGCAGCCGGGACTAGAACTGGCGCCCATATGGGATGCCAGCGCTTCTGGCCAGGCTGTTAACCCGTTGCACCACAGCGTCGGACCCTGGCACTCATATTCTAAGTCATCTCTAGACTTTGTCTTTTACTTCTGATACATGTGCATATGAATATATGTATATATGATATATATGATATCCCTTTATTTTTCTTTTGTATATCTTCTCTTGTCAGTTTTCATATAAATTCCTAAGTGGATGACTTACTTCACTTAGAAAACAGCATGATTTGAGAAATGAGGATTGTTCAATTTGATAGCTGTGTACTTGGGGTAAAATTAGTGTAAAAAACCCAGGTTTTGTAGATTTTTAAAAAATTATTCTTTTCTACTCTAAGAAGAGATAAATACTATCTTACATCTTTGGGGACATTACTCAGAGAAGACAAAAGGAAGCATAACATAATAAAATTCTATTTTATGTTAATAACCTCAGCATAAATAATGAGCTCCATGAACTTTGTCTTTTTTCCCACATGCATTTATTAACTTTCAAAACATTTTTATGGTATTTTTTCCGTGAAATCAGCACAACAATCACAGGGACTTCCAAGAAAAGTAAATTGTATTCCCAAAGCACCTTTAATGCCATGACCAAATCCCCAAGGGGCTTTAATGCTTTCTCAGAAATATTTGAGATAAATTGTATATCCTAAAATATTTAGGCAGCATATGGAAAACAAGAAATTAAATTAACTCCATTTACTCTGTTTTCTAATGGACATAGATTATCAACATTATTAACCAATAAGCATGGACAACACTTTGTGTGTTTGTGTGTGTCTCAGAGATATCTAAATCAATGTGATATGGACAACCATATTCTATAGATTATCATATAATGTAAAACCATGCTGATGAGTTAACCTATGTGGATGGAAGAACTTTTATTTGCTTTATTGAAGATGCACCTGATCAAATATAAGATGAAACAGTAAATGACAGGAAAAATGATTCAGCGTGTTTATTTAAAATATGTTGCAGGTGGAAGCCTAACCTACTACACCACAATGTAGACCCCCATTATTTTTCTATTCTTGTATATGTATTTTGCATTGCCAAAATTCCTTAAGTGTTAAAAAATAAAATATTACTATATAATCAAAGTAGCATTCTGCTTGCCTCTCTTCTCATAATTAGAGGGAAGAAAAAGATATCTGGTGCTACATATTAGCTAGTGATTAAAGATCTAAGCAAAGATTTCAAATGATAATGCAAAAATTCTCTGAAGAGTTGAATTTAGGGCAGATATTTGTGGCACATTTGGTAAAGCTGTGACTTGCAATGCTGGCAACCAACAAGAATGCTGGTTTGTGTCCCGGCTGCTACACTTCCCATCCAGCTCTGTGCTAATGGCCTGGGAAAAGCAGCAAAAGATGGCTCAGGTACTTGGGCTACTGTCACCCAAGTGGGAGACCTGGGTGAAGCTCCTGGATCCTGGCTTTGGCCTGGCCCACCTCTGGCTGTTGTGGCCATCTGGGGAGTGAATCAGTGGATGGATGATCTCTCCATCTCTCCCCTCTCCCCCAATTCATACTTTCAAGTAAATACACAAATCATTTTTTAAAAAAGTGGGATTTGTGGAGCTGGAGTTTTGACATAGAAGGTAAAACCCCCACCTGCTATGCTAACATTTATATTGATACCAGTTTGAGTCCCAGATGCTCTGCTTCCTATCCAGCTCTCTGCCAATGATTAGGAAAAGCAGCCGAGGACGGCCCAATTGTTTTGGAGCCTGCCACCCATATGAGAGACCTGGATGAAGCTCCTGGCACCTGAAAATGGTCTTGGCATAGCCCTGGCCATTGTGGCCATCTGAGGAGTGAAGCAGTGGATGAAAGATCTCTCTCTCTCTCTCTCAAACACACATACACACTCTCTCTAACTCTTTCAAAATGAATAAATCTTTTAAAAAGGGTTGAATTTGTTTCCTATTTCATGTTCCATTGAAGACTATGATTTGACATTAATAAGACGTAAATGTGTAATTTATTTTAAAGACAAATCTAAACCATTTCCCCAGCAAAATTAGTAACAGATAATGCAGTCTCTCTGAAGCAAATTCATTTAAGAAATATTAGCCTAGTATTTTATACTAATTTTGTCCATGGTTTTTATAACTATTATTTCTCTTAACTTTGATTATTAATGATTAGCAGAGGCATGCATTTTGCTGTGGTAAGCATGTTGCTTGTGATGGTTGCATCCCATATTTGAGTGCCTGGGTTCAATCCTGGCCCTGCTTCCAATTCCAGCTTCTTGATAATGCACACTCTGGAAAGCAGCAGGTGATGGTTCAAGTTTTTGGACCCTTACCCATGTTGACTTCCAGGCTCCTGATTACAACATGACCCAGCCCTAGCTGTTGCAAGCCTTTGGAGGGTCAATCAGTAGATGAGAGATCTATTGTCTCTGTCTTTCTGTCTCTTTGTCTTTCAGATAAAGTTAAAATAAATAAATAAAAATTAAAAAAATAAATACTAGGAGTACTGCACAAACCTATATAAATCTATATTAGAGAATAAGTTTCCAGTAATTATGTCTCTTCTAGAAATGTTTAATTATAAACA